AATATAAATATTGGAAAGGGTGAGTTAGATTAAAACCATCAACGGGCGGGCAGGTTGAGTCGCCTTCTTTTGAATATTGACTTCCTATAAACGTCCCTTCATGACCTACCCTCTTCTCTAATGACCACTACATCCAAAAGGGGTAGGGGCCTATTCTCTTATATTTCCATTGTGAACCTAATGTTCCTTTCAGATTGATGTTAAGTGTAATCAGAAAATTATCTAAACTTTTATAATTATTTTGATTTAGGACCGGTATTGCGTATAAGTGCTAACACACAGACACACAAACACAGCCAAGTAAAATTGTTATAGTCAATATGAAAGCGAATTTGTCATATAATGCTATATCAATCTATATATATAGATTTCAGATTTTTACTTATGAGTATGTATAAGAAGTAAGCTAGAGCCGGACAGTCTTCTTGATCTAGTGTTAATTTTAGACTTTTACAAGAATGACTTCCAGCTCTGATGATGGTTATCATATGATCGACGAAAGCTTAGCCCGTTTTCACCCGAAACGAGGTAGGATGTATCTTTGGGCTACAACAACCTAAATATCGTATTAAAGCCAAAAAGTTGTAGTACAACGGGAATCAGCGATCGTCTTCTGATGGAATCAATCTTAGAAACTCTTCAATTGCTTTCATGCTAAATAAAGGGCTCCTCAACAATCTTACAGCAGGATTATAAATACAATCACTGATCCGGCAGAGATTAAACTCCTTGCTTCTTATTTGTATGTCACACAATTTAAAGTCAAGTTTGTTAAATTCACTAAGTCTGAATGTAGAGGAAATAAATAAATGCAACTTACCTGTGTCAGATAATGGTAGTTTTCTGTATTGCTTAAACCTAAGCTTTCTTTTTCGATGTCGCTAAGCCCTGCTATGAGGCAGTAGAAGACATGATAATTGCGTTCTCCAGAAGCCTGTGTGATGAGCCGAGATTTTTCTAAAAGGTATTGCTCAATCCGCGCGCTCTCTATGTAGCCGCTGGATCGATCAAAATGGATTTCAATGTATTTGCCAAAGCGTGAAGAGTTATCATTGCGTATAGTTTTGGCGTTGCCGAAAGCTGCTTGTGAATATATTTGAAAATATGCATGTAGCATTGAATAGAGACGTAATCAAGAACAAGTGGAGGTGAGAAATATGAAAAATTAATTTATATCAGATAAATTAAAAGGAAAGCATCATTTGAGATCTTTATATATAAGATGTATTCACTATACTTCATTTAAGATGATGAAGCACTGGTAGTATAATTATCCCACAATGATATGAGAAGAGCTGACGTTTCCATTGAATTTTACATTGCCTTGCTTTTTTAAAGTTGTTCTCATTCAAGGTGGACTGCAGTTTTGACCTCACCTAGGTCCCCAGAGGGAGTCGAACCGTGACAGTGCAGCATGTGAGCTTAACATTTTAACAACTCGGCCACATTGTCATGAGAGTGTCCTTGGGTCGCAGGGCAGATGTCGATAAAAAGACATATTTTGCCCTAATTGGAATTTTTTTATATTCGTGTGAGAGTAGGGTTTCGAGACTACCAGTTAATCAGTGTAATGAGATGTATTCACCCTGTTTAGTCTAAGGTGATGAAGGACTGGTAGTAGGATTTTCCCCAGAAGGATATGAGTTGAGCTGACGTTTCCATTGAATTTCACATCGACTTGCTTTCCCAAAAATTGTTCTTGATCACCTTAGACAAAATAGGATGAATACATCTCATTACACAGATTTACTGGTAATCTCGAAACCCTACTCTCACACGAATATAAGTAACGTAGTCGATTGCTATAGCAAATATATGTTTGCTTCATCGGCACTCCCACCAAAGAATATGATAAAGCAAAGAGGCCTGACTTTCCTTGAAATTCACCAATGCCCTGTGACTCAAGGTTACTCGTGGCAGTGTAGCCGAGTGGTTAGCGTGTCAAGCTTCCATCCTGCACTGTCGCGGTTCAACTTCCGCTGAGGGTGTTGATAAGACTGCAGTCCCCC